GATGCAACACTTTTTGAAACATGCGCTTACTAACACTGGGAGTTGCAAATTGCAATACAATTCATGATTCATTGCTAAACATATTCACAGAGAGTCGGTCTTCAATACCTCTGCTACAAACAGCATTCCTTGCTCCATATTACTGTGAAATACTTTATTTTAGCTGGAATTAATTTTCGCTGAAAAATCTTTTTTGATGTTTTGTATGGAATTTATTTTCACTGATTTTTGACGAGTTGAATGTGAGAAATAGGAAAAAAAAGTATATTCGCTGGATTTTATTTTCACTGAAGCATCCCTTCAGCGAAAATAGCGAAAATAAATTCCAAGCAAAAATAAAGCATTCTACAGTATATATAAACAAAAGCATAAATAAATAAGTTCATAGGTATGGTAGAACTTTCAACTTTTAACAAAACACTATTCTTTGTATTATGCTGAATTTAATAAATTATAGAGTGACTTTTTTTTACGTCTTCTGCGAATGTGAACAAGACCTGGGTTATTCATTCTCCCAATGTTGAATAATTAACAGAAATTTAGAATTTAATGACAAGCACAGAACATGTTTACAATAATGACTGCTACGGTGTTTGAATGTAAAGGCAGACAAAATAGCGCCACCTATGACTGAACTGAGAGATGTTTCAGACACAGTATAAACATGGGCAAAAAGCTTTTAATGATTCCATGTGCACACGGTCAAACCATTAACCCCCCCCCCCCCAGTCAAATCTCTAAAGGGGTTGAGAAAAGCTGTTAGGCTATCCAAAAAATGGTCATGTTTACTAAATACATATAGATAACTGAATGTGTATTTATATGTGTAAACTAAACAAATAATATTTGTTAAATATGCAAGAAACCGTTATTAAACAGATTACTAAATTCAGATGTACCAGGTATGCCAAGCTACAATATTCCCATAAACACGTCATCCACAAGTACGAAAAAATGTTGAACAAAAAATGGCGGAAGGAAATGGTGATTATTTTACCACATGTGCATGAAAACTAACATGTCTAGGGTGAATGACTTCACCACATATTTGCGGTATTTAGCAGTACTTAAGCAAATTTAGTTGACATTGTAATGCAAACTTTTGAAAAAGAAATGCAACAAACACGATCCAAACTATTATGTTGTTTATAAACAAGTTTCTGCAACAGCAACAGTGCAAATCTCACAGAAATCAGCATAATTTATTGTGCTCTTAAAGTATGGCAAGTTCTGATGCTTATAGTATAAACTGTTTAATTTTCACTGCTATAAATTTTTGCAATTTTGAATTTTATGTTATTTTTAAGAACAAAAATGCACGAAAGTCACTGAAATTCTGGGTCACGTGATACCAGAAAAATTTTCATTGCCTTGCGAAATGTGCAAAAATTTGTTTTCCATGAAATTCCAGTATTACTAACCTAACAACATCATTTTAACAAACCACAGGTTGGTCGTCTAGATAAATAGATCACATGTTTTTCCATTTTTTTAAGTAAAATGACAAACAGCGGGATTTATTTCTGCCATGTCAATGTTAAATTAAACACAGATGTATGCTGGCCTGAAAAGGTGAAAGATTTGAGAACACGCAAACTATAGAGGGCGCCATTGAATCAACATCAAATCATAATAACATTGTGCCTATGAGTACATCGATTCTTCTAATAGGTGATTTTCCGTACAATTGCGAGATCTCGCGAGATGCATGAAAGACGCGCTTCGAACGTCTGCCGCAAAAATCGAACGATTTGATTTTGAACTAGAATTTCTTTATTTCGTAGCTTACATTGACCGGCCGATCTTCGACAGAGGAATATTGCTTCCGAATACCCTTACTTAATCAAAATTGTCTATCATCAAATGTGCACAGCACATTATTAAGCATGGAAATGTCCCCGAAATACTTTGGGTTTGTCGAATCCCACGCGATGTTAGACGCGACTAGACGCTATGACCTTTGTTTGTCCTGTTTTTACGTTCGATTTCACGCATAACGCGTGATTCTCGCAGTGAACGGAAAATGGTCTATTCAACAAACCTACTGTTTTTTTTTTAAATCAATCTAAGAGGTGGACTATTAGGGTGGGGGATTGGCAGAATATTATTTTCCTTTAATTTAACTTTGTGCTAATTTTTTTTTTACAATGATAAATTCACTGTATGTAATTGTTTTATTTCCATTGTGTGTAATATTGTTTTTTAAGAAATAGGTATGGTATACAGATTTGATTTTTTTTTTTCAATTCTGTCTCCCCCTTGAGTTTCTAATGGTTAACCCCTAAGCCATGTGTATTTAATATGTAGATGGGTCAATAGAAGCAATCAATTGTCAATCTCACCACGACTGATTGCTCCACTTTAAATAGGTACTTAGTCTGCAATCGATGACAATCCATCACTAATTATTCCAGACATCTTCAGATGTACGGAGCACACCACACACATATACACTCATCTTTTTTTACTTTTAGGTTAGATTTTGATCTCCAAGGTTATGCAATAGCCATCAAACAATGTTTAGTTAGAATCGTGTCTATTTTGAACATTCGTTCAACTTACCTGTACTCCAATCAGAGTGCTAGAATAATATGACGCAGGTACGAGGTCCTCAACAATCGATGACATCATCCAAAAAGCATCCTCTTCTTCTAAGAAGAGTAAGAGAGAGGCGGCCATCTTGAAAAAAAACAATAAATACACATATGAACGCAAACCATGATTTTTTTTTTTTTTAATAGAGAATTTATATACATTTTTACTTACTAGATATTGAATAATGTAACAATAAATTATTTTAGAAAACAAAAAAAAATAGTAGTACATAAAACCTGTCAACATCAAAAAACCCTGTTTCATATACTTGATAATATTAGACACTTCTGTAAACCGTTTTTGATAACTGGCTTTGACTGGTTTCAATATATGTTGGATACTTTGTATAGGGAGTTGATAAAAAAAAATACTTTCAGTCACTGCAGCGAACAACTATTATTAATACGCTTCATTTCATATGTTTTGAATTGAATAGTTAAAGAGATGACGGAAAGTGAGAAGAGGAAGTAGTGATTGGGAAAACAGAATAATTATAGAACAGCTGGGGGGATGTAAATCAATTGAAAAAATAATATAATGTCACTGTATTTATTCATTTCAGAGTTAATTTTTTTTAGTTAAATTACGCTAATCACGATTACCTAATACAATGGGTTTGTTACAAGGCTATGGTTCAGAAATAAGTTACAAGTCCACTTGCAGACATAAACACTTTAAATAACCCACACAAATTTTGTATTTTTTTCTCAACAATGGCAAGCATGACACGTGAATGCTACATTTTCATTCAAATAACCATCGGTATTTTTGATAAGCACCGACATATATGCATTATGATAATATGCATTAAATTGACCATACGCGAGGTCAAAAAAGATTATATTCATATAATCCTAATCTCCATGGCAACAAAACTGTAACTTCCTAGTATTAAATTTGTAAAGACCTTTTTTTAACAATAAAAAAGAAAAAAGAAACTGTTTAAAATCAGTGCCAACAATTTTGTTCTTTTTATATCTCCAGCAGACGTTGACGTAGTCCTTTGTGAGCGTAATTCATGAATTTCAAAGTGCTAATGAGCATTTCTTTCATTTTTATTCAATAGTGTCGCAATTATCATTAGAAAAGAACAATTTTTATTTCAGCAGAATATAAAAACAGGTTAATAAGTAGATTGATATTGTCACTAATTTGAAATATTTATTCAACAATTTTGCTTATTATATGATAATTTAACCAAGATTCAAGTCGGTTGGAATTAATTTTGAGGATTACAGAATAAATAAGCAAAAAAATGTAATATACCGTAAATCAATTTTAAATTAAAGAGAAAAATTTTCACACAGAAACAGTAAAAATTTACACTGGGTTTCAGGGACAATTCGGGTGAGATTTACTCACTATGGAGTTATCAAATAAGAGACATTGTCAGTGGAGAATTTAGTGATTGACAGCATTGTAATCTATTAAACTTTTTAAATTATACTTCTAAAATTAGTTATGAATATTTATGAAAAAACCTTTTAATAATAATGTTTTATTTCAAAAGCATACTTACATAAATATTACAATAAAGAATGAGAAAAAAAATACTGAAAGTAAATCAAAAGCAAAATAAAAAAAAAAAACATTTTGAATCAGAACTCAATGAACGGATGATTTATGTGTCGGCCAATTTTATTCGAAACAGAACAGCGAAAATCCTTGATTTTGAATATTTTCTAAAAAAAAAAAAAACCAAATGTCCAATGCATGCATCAAGTTTTAACAACAATTGCCTACACATAACCAAAATGGTTGAAAATGCTTGATTTTGATGATTTTTTTAAGATATAAATTGATGTCATTCGGCTAACTTGAATTGGATTGTGAAATAAATACATGTGCAAATGTGTAACATACGTATATAACGTGTGAAGTTTGAACATGATTGGTCAAGACATATCAGTGACATGCTACTCTGGAAAAGCATTCATTTTTAATGACCACCTGTTGTAAATTTTTAATCTAATTTGCAAAACGAGGTGACATGCATCATGATAATGTCCAATATATCGAGTTTAAACGAAAGCCGATCATACATGGCCGAGATCTGGTTCTAGAATAACAGAAATGCTTAGGCTTAATGAATATTTAGCACAAAAATTGACACTACAACAGTTATGAATATACATCATTAGCTATTCAAGTTTGTGTTTACCGATCATGACTACCTAATCCATTTACACCATGCTTATTGACTTCATTTATGAACTACTCTGTATAACCCAAAAGTAATCCCAAGATGCCCAATGCTGAGTTTGTGGCTTGACGACTGTGCTGTATTATACACCATTTATTCTCAATGGGATAAAGTTTGGAACAACAGAAAAAACTACTCCCTTGAGCTCGTGAAAACTACAAAACAAGATGGCAACAGCATCGTAATAAAGTTGGCGCCCTAAACTGGTTCTGGTCTCTGATTGGCCAGAGAAATTATTATTATCTGTAATATTTAGCATTCTCGCTGCATCCAGCGACAGTTTATTTAACTTACCATTCCGGTGCCCTGACAATATCCTATTTCTGGATACAGCCATGCTAGCGATCTGAGTATCCGTCGTAGTCTCGGTACTCCAGTACTATGAATTGACGAGAAACAGGCATTGCTTGGCATCGTTCGAAGTAAATCCTGACAAAAAAAAGAAAAAATAATACTTTACACACACACAGAGATAATTATTTGAATTCATAACATAATAGTAAATAATTCACATTTTTTTTAAAACTCCACAGTCGTCATATGTCACATGTTAGAATTTTGTGTAAAGCATTTTAAATGTGTTGTATACTATGCATTTCCTATAGGATGTGCTAAGACAACTGCAGTGCTTTAATCCATAGATCGCCATAATTTTTCTCAGCCAAAATACGATTGTCATATTTTTAAGTATTTTTCAGGTCAAGAAAAAAAAAGTGTGTGGTTCTTATACCCAACCCTCCCGTATTTTTTTACTACCTGACCATAAACCTTTTTGGCCATATTTGACAAAATGTTACAAAATTGTGAATGTGATTTATTGAAATTCAAAATTTTGAAAAACTGGGGTAATGATTTATGATACACGTATCTGCAAAAACAGTTCTTATATGCAAGAAAAAACAATAGTTGTTACAAAAAATAAATCTCTATAAAAAATATAAAAATGTCTACCTACTATAAAATAAAGAAACCCTACTTTATACATTGGTTTAGCATATAGTGAATAGTATGTACTCACCTTTTCTATTTGTTTTGCCGTCAGGGAATGCTCATTTGAACTTGCTTTAACAACTTCCTATATAAGAAACAAATATTTGAATAATTAACATTATTATATATCTGTCACCGTAACGCCATAAGTTACAGCGTGCCGTAATTTTACGGTATTTTATGGGGTATTTTTATCCTACCATATAAGGAATTGAAAATTCCAAATATGGAATGATTACACACATAAGCGTCCTCTATTAATAAAAACAAACATGGCTACTATCAGAGTTTGACAGGATTCAACACAAAGCAGTTCGCTGATTCTGTTCTAAATATTTTGAATTTTGACATTCCCATGGTGTATCCTTGGAAGGAAAAGATGTATAATAATAATAAGCTTATTACGAGAATACCTCAAAACATGCACTCAGACAGTATGCTGTGCATCGACCTCCACTGCTTGTCGGTCGATACTCCAGCTGTACTGTCTCCGTGCATACTTTGAGGTATTCTCGTAATAACCTCATATTCTTCATCATCATGGGATGGGTGAGCCATGTGACAGCCCGATTACAAACAGCAAACTTCCAATGTTCAAGAACTAGTTTTCTCAGGCTATTATGCAAGTTTGTTTTGCTAAACTAGAGATAACAAGTGTTGTTGTTTATGACCCTTACAGCGATTCTGGAAATCATTCTGACAGTCAGTCAGTTAGCAAGATGACTTACAACTTTACAAAACACTAGCTTTTGTCCAAACTAGACTTGACATACAAGTTTACATTATTACCTACACTATCATACTAGACAAAGGTAACGATCATTAGAATACAAACACAGGCTATTTTGATGAGTTTTGATATCTCTTGAATTACAAACAAGTTTATTACAATAATGAATACTCTCAAGACATGCATGTACTCTTTTATAGATCTGTTGTATTTATTGTTTTGTATTCTATTTTTCTATACTTTATTACTTCAACTGACATTATTCATTACGGTTTAATAAACATTATTATTAATAAAAATAATAATAAAATATTATTATTACAATGTAGATAAGCAATGTATGTTTGATGTATATGTGTAGTTTAACCTTGATTAGTTCAAGCATGGATACAAATGGACGTACACACACATGCGCGCTCAGAATACAATAGTTCTGCTAGGTTATGTTTGATGACAGAGAGGTTATGTTTGATGACAGAAAAGTTATGTTTGATGACAATGTTATGTTTGATGACAGAGAGGTTATGTTTGATGACAGAAAAGTTATGTTTGATGACAACAAAATTATGTTTGATGACAAC